GGGGGTGTCACCCACTGTCACCTCCCCTCGCTCCGCAGCCGGCCGGACCACCACCAACGAGGAGCTGGAGGACATGCTGGAGAGCGGGAAGTTGGCCATCTTCACGGATGACGTACGTGAGACCTCTCTGCCCTGGAGGACCCTAGAACCCAATGGGGTACCTCGAACCGAATGAGCCCCGAGCGGGGGCCAATGAGATGCCCCGAACAGCCGCGTCACTTGAAAACCAGAAGGTCCCCTGGAACCTTTGGGGCTTTTTGAGGTACCTGGAGCCCATTGGGTCACCCGGAACCCATTAGGTCACCGGGAACCCAACGAGATGCCCCGAATCATTGCGTGACCTAGAAACCATGAGGTTGCCTATGACCTGTTGGGGTACCTGGAGCCCCATTGGATCATCTCGAGGCCAAGGAGCCCCACCCTACGCTCCCACCTGTCTCTCCTCTCTCCTACCAGATCAAAATGGACTCGCAGATGACCAAACAGGCCCTGAACGAGATCGAGACGCGACACAACGAGATCATCAAGCTGGAAACGAGCATCCGGGAGCTGCACGACATGTTTGTGGACATGGCGATGCTGGTGGAGAGCCAGGTACGGCGGGAGGGACAGAGGGAGGGCTTAGAGCCGCCCGCGTCAGGGACGAGGACCCGCGCAAAGCCCCCAGCGAGGTACCGGATCCCATGGATCCCTCCCTCCCCCTGAGAACAAAATTTGAGGGATTGTTGGATCATCTAGAGACCGTCGAAACTTCTAGAGCCCATGGGGTCATCTAGAGCCCATGATGAAAACCTCTCAAGCCCACCAAGAGACCATTGGGTCACCTAGAACCCACCAAAACCCGTATTTAATGTTCATTGGCTCATCTAGATGCCATCAAAAGCTCTTGAGCCCACCAAGGGTCATCTAGAACCCACAAAAAGCCACTGTTAGGGTTCATTGGCTCATCTAGATGCCGTCAAAAGCTCTTGAGGCCACCAAGACGCTGTTGAACCACCTAGAACCGGTCGAGCCCCCCCCGCCCTGGACGCCGGTGTGTGTCCCCTGGGGTGCCAGCCCCGCCCGGGGATGGGGTGGCCGGCTCAGGGGTACGTTCTGGCTC